TGTTGATATGGAATTGTATATGAAGGTGTATATGTAAGTATATAACCTAGAGATATAAATACACATGAGGGTCCCATCTAGGATTGGGCAACCCTATTTGTCAAATTTCTCTTCTCTTCATCTCTTAATATTTATACAGGCATAAGAACACAATGTACAGAAAAACAAGTGTATTTGATCTATCCCAAGTTATACACCTTGATTGCAGTCTACACACCAAATCTAGCATCTCATTTCTATCATTTGTAGGCTCTAATACTAAAATGGGATTCATCTACAACGACAATGAGAAATATTGCAAATATAAGTGCATTTGTAGGGAACAAACTTTGAAACTCCCATCTTTTTGTTCACTCTCCAGCCTTCTTCTTTAACATTGAAATGAATTCATCTCGTTCTTCTGGAGTCATTCCTTGCGCGGAGCAGTCTCCAACACCCCATTCTGCACCTCGCAAGCAATATTTATCTTGGATCTCTTTTTGATTCCTGACAATAATTCCACAAAAACTTAAATATTTTTGCACCTGCATATTTTTATTTTTATTTTTTTCAAATTGATGAGCTAAATTACTATATAATCAATTGTATCAGTGAAGTGTTTGTCCATCAATTGCATAAACAAACTGATAGGAGTATAATTGAGAAACAGTTAATTTGATTATGGTACAGTTGCTACCTCTCCTTATTCTGTTTAGATTTCTCCAGGAGTTCCTTAAGTACAGTAGATGATTTGAACTTATTGTCAAGCTCAGCGTATTTTTTCTGATTGTTCTCTGCAAAAAGTTCAAAAGCTTGTTGTAATGAATATTGCTGAGGAAAAAATGTTATAGAGAAATGTTAGATAATATCTAAACAAACACACCATTCCATTTGCTGAGAAAATCAATCTTTGGCAGCTCAGGGCCAGGGATCGATTCCAAGCCGGAGGAGCCTGACAAAAAACCAGCATGCGCTTCATGCAAAAAAGTCTACAAGTTAGTAACAAGATGAGTGATATTTTTGGAAACATGAAAATTGTTTCTCATAGTCAGAATATAAATGATAAATAATAAATATTAAAAAGTTGATAATTTTATCAACTGCAGATAGCAACTGACTGCAAACAATCCTTCAATTGCATTCTGAGATAAGTTGCAAAAACAATTGGATAAATTGCAATATCAATCCCTAAAATTTCAGAATTCACCTTCATCTTTATAGTTAACTGCTAAATTACCATGCCAAAAATACTTTTAAATGAACATGAAAGCCAAACTTTTAAAAGCCACCAATTACTCGATTCTCGAGGAAAATGACAGTAGATACTTATGACAAATTAAGAAGAGATACATAACTTTCAAAGTAAACATAAAGAACAAAGTGATAAAATGGCCATGCTCGAATTGCATAGGGTCAAATCTGTAATTTTACCCTACTAACGGAAGAAAAACTAAACCTTTTTCTATTCACTGGAGCAGATATCCAATCTTATTGGACAAATGAAATAATCATAGTATACATTTTCCTCACAAGGTTTCTAGAAGTGGCATATATTACCCAAAGGTCATCACTTTTCCCTTCGAATATTTCTATCAGTTACATTAATCACTCAAAGTTTCTTTCTGTTAAATTTCTCTTAGAAAAAGTTATATACTACTATCTAGGATGGAATTGCCTGGAATAATCATTTAAAAACTATGTGTTTCAAGCAACGGAGAAACTGATAATTGTCATAGTCAAAAGGATCACCCCATAAGTAAAAACTGTAAAAATTCCTATCAAATAAATGTTTTTTTTAACAACAAAAGTTAACAAAATGACTTCCATGATTTTAATAAGCTTAATATGGACGACTTAGAAAATTCCACAAAAAATATCAACTATGTTAGTATATATTGTACACTAGAATATAAGATAGTTCAGGAATTTTAATGGTTACTTCGAATCTATATATGTCATGGACACTAAAAGAGGAAAGGATAAAATGACGATAACTCTCTCGTCCATACCCTTCAGTAGCACTTACCACCCCTCAGTAGCCAAATCAATAATTTCAATTTTATTAAAACCCTCTCAAATTTGATGGTGTTGTAGATATCCGCCCTCAACTTTGAAAATTTGACTTAACCCACAAAATTTTCTCACTCAACCCCCCTAACTAACACCATTAAGTATAACATGTCAAGTAATAGGCACGTGACTTAAAAAGACTTAAGATACCCATCAGTCATAAAGAAAGTTGTATTTTTCCAGAGGATGAGAGAGGGAGGAGAGAAAGAGAAGGGTTGGGGGGGGTTCATAAATGGCTCAGGGTGTTTTTTTAATGGTTAGGAGTTTTTTTAATCTGAAAAAAGTTCTTAAAAGGGTATTTAGGTCACTTCAAATGTTGAAGTGGTGATGTCAGAGGGATTTGCTGTGAAAGTTGCAAACGTTAGAGGTTTTATAAAACAACCCATATAGTTGAATGGAGTTGAGTCAAAAATTTAAAGTTGAGGGGTTATCTGCAACACCCACGAAGTTGAGGGGGTTTCCTCAAATTAAAATAGTGGAGGGTGGTTTTCTGAGACAATCCCCATAGTTGACAAGGATTTTCTGAGACAACTCCCATAGTTGTGGGGGTTTTCTAAAATTAACCCTAATGAAAATGATGAAGATAGAGAAGTCCTATCAAAGGTATCGATGAGGGGTTGTCTGCATTTACCCAAGAAGAAAAGGAGCATTCAAGGGCAATTTAAATCTTAAGTAATACATGTTTGAAATGGCAAGTTAACAAAATTAAGCCTTATTGGAGGGATAAATGAAACTCGGTGTTCTTTCGCCTGGGGGTGGGGGGTGGGGCGTTGGGGTGCGTTTTACCACTCTAGAAACCTTAAGAGAGATGCATGCAATTTACCCTAAATTTCCAATTGAATTTTTCATAACAAAAAACTGATTACAATATGAAATGGCTACGCTCATATCACCAAAGGGCCTACATATCTCAACTTTATCCCGCTATCAAGAAACCCTGTAGGAACGAGAAAATAGAACTTCCAATGCACTTTTAATCTTCAAGATATAAAATGGGGTATGTGTATATATAATTTGGGAGTTACCACAGATCGACTACCAAATTAAACCAAAAGCTTACGCTATTAGAGATTGGTCCCAACTTTTTTATTTTAGTCCGCCATCTTTTCTAATTCTTTCAATACGAGACTATATATAGTGACTCCCCACAGTCGTTCCCTTCATTCGTGAGCCTAGCTCAATCATCCACCGGAGCAGTGGGTCCTCGCTCACTTGGTCTTAATGGACGACCATGGAAAGAGGCAACATGCATGGATACCAACATCCCTAGAATCTGCCTCCCACCTTTCAGACAATAATCACTCCTGTAGACAATCATGGACACCATCTATCATTCATGGGCTAACCTGAGTTCTGTCTAAATTGAAAATCACTGACACAATGACATCGCCAGCATCTTAAAATTCTTTAACCAGTTGTGGGCTAATCATAGTTTAGTCTACCTGATTTGTTCTAAACCAGCAACCATGGAACATCACCGACATTTGTATGATCTCTCTGTCTGCATGCTCCATCATGCGTGGGGCTAACTTGATCTCAATCATTTTCTCGACATCTTCAGGCTTTATATATGTTGGTATCCACTCCCACTTGGGCCACAACTTGAATTTCGATACCACTTGTTTGAGGGGAAATTTAGACCACTCTAGAAGTTGATAGGCACTTAGAGAGATTGAGAATCAAACTACCTCAAAAGTTTCAAAGTGGGTTTCGCATAACTTAAGTTTCTGAGACATTGAAATTTCACACGACCTTATCTCAAATTGTTAGGTCATCGGCGTGAATCATATTCTTCCAATATTTTTTTGTTGCCCTACACTGCATAACTTTGACAACTTGAAGAAGTATTACATCCCCAATCTATGAAACTGGCTAAAAATTTTCAATTTTAAAGCAATACCTCAATTATTAATTAAGGAAGCAAAAGATAACAGACGAAATACCTGGATTTGACCACAGGATAATGGAGATGGAGGCAGCCAAAGGGAAGGCAAGCTCGAGAGCTCGAGATGGATTGATCAGAGAAATGGGCCTCTGTGGAAGAACCAAGCTGGGCTTTTTGCAGCCCATAGTTCTGAAGCTCCTCTGAGAGCCGCAAGTGAACGTGTTTGAGACAGAGGAAGCGGGCGAGGGTGAGGCCATAGATAAAGAGGACAGCATGATTCTTCCTCTTCCACTGAAATGACCCAGTAAATTTCTAGCTCTTCTCTCGCAGGGGAAGAGGATGGGGTTGATACGTGCTTTACTTGGACGCCTCTCCTCCTCGTAACCGTGACCGCTCGAATTCAGTGAAATTTTCTTCGAAAGAATTTAGGAGAGATTTCAGTAAATTCTCAGTGTCTTTTTGGTATGGGTTCCCTGTGCCTTTCATTTGTTTAACTTTGTCCTTAAAATCATCAATATTGCTAGCTAGTCCCCCAATTCCTATAGGCCACTTCGTGTTAGTCCCTACAGTGAACAAACCTTTGTGGATGGAAGAGAGAGTCTTTCATTTCATTGAAGGCTAAATAGATTAGCTTGTTAGTCTGAAGTGTAGACCCAAAGTCGAAGCCGGAGCTAGAATCAGAACTAGGAAAAAAAAATGTCAGACTGATCCACAGTCGACCGCGAGTTTGCGGCGGTCGACCGCGAACGTGCACAGGAGCTCAGGAGAGTTTGGAGGTGATCGCGGTCGACCGTGGCGGTCGACCGTGGCGGTCGACCGCACAAACCCTATAGGATTTTAGTTTTTGTCTTTCGATCACGGTCGACCGCGCCTGGCTTGGCGGTCGACTGTGCCAAACCATGTAACTTTTCTAGGCTCTGTCGATTTTCACGGTCGACCGCGGGAACTTGGCGGTCGACCGCGGCGTTGTTTGACAGTTTCCTAAACTGTTTAGGAATTCTTTTTGGGCTGAGTTTGATATAAATACCCAAACATTTTAGGGTTTGATAGAGCACGAAAAAAAGAGTTTTTGACTACAAAAAAGAGAGAGAATCTCAGAGAGATAAAACCCTAGTTTGAGAGCTTGTAATTTTTCTTCAATTAATAAAGGAATTGTGTGGTATGGCTCCCGAGGACGTAGGCACGTTGCTGAACCTCGTTAAATCTGTGTGTTCGTCTCTTTTATCTTCTTTACAAGTTTTGATTTTTTATTTGTGGTGAATTTCCTACTTTCCTACTTTTAACACAAGGTCCAGAAGGGCAATGATCCTATTTGATTGTTTTGGATTCCCCAACAACTGGTATCAGAGCTTCGTTCAGCAATTTGTGTGAAAGCCATGGCAGAGGAAATCAAATCAAAGATCGAGAAGTTTGATGGTTCAGACTTCGCCTACTGGAAGTCGCAGATGAAGGACTATTTGTACCAGAAGGACTTGTATCGTCCGTTGATGGGTAAGGAGAAGGGACAGAAGAAAGAGGAGTCAATCGTGATTAGGAGATACTGGATAGGAAGGCTCTAGGGCAAATCTGGTTATCGCTCGCCAAATCAGTAGCCCACAACATATTAAAGGAGAAGATGACGGTGGGGCTTATGGAAGCGCTCGCGAAGATGTACGAGCAACCATCGGCAGCAAACAAGGTGCATCTCGTCAAAACTCTTTTCAACCTCAAGATGACAGAAGGATGGTCCTTCATGATGCACCTCAACTAGTTCAACACGATTGTTGATCAACTCATCTCCGTAGACATCACATTTTATGACGAAGTACAAGCCCTATTGATTCTAGCGCAAATGCCGGATAGTTAGGCAGATTGTGTGACGGTAATCAGCAATTCGGCGAAGAAGGAGAAGTTGAAGCTGAGTGAGGTTGTTAGCATGATTCTATCCGAGGAGGTTAGAAGGAAATCGTTCGAATCAGAAGGTTCAGGTTCAGCCCTAAACTTCGAACAGAGAGGCAGAAGCCAGAAGAAAGGAAACCAGAACAGAAATCAGTCAAAATCAGTGAAGAAGAGGTCGAACTCGAAGGTTAGACCTATTAAAGGGAAGTATTGGAACTATGCCCAGAAGGGTCATATGTCTTCAGTCTGCAAGAGTTCAAAGAAGGATGCGGGTGAGCAGGAGGCTCATATCGTGCAGGATGTCTTGATCCTTGCTATGGATAGCGACTCAGATTCTTGGGTCATCGACTCAGGAGTCTCTTTCCACGCCACTGCTAACAGGAAGCTCTTTCAGAATTATGTAGCAAGGGACTTTAGAAAAGTATATTTGGGGAATAACGAGCCATGTAATATTGTTGGAAAAGGTGAAGTGCAGATTCAGAAGAAGGGCTCTAAGTGGACCTTGAAGAACGTGAGACATGTGCCGAAGCTGAAGAGGAATCTTATTTTGGTAGGACAGCTTAGAGCAGAATGCTATGTTTCGACATTCACAGGGGATTCGTGGAGAATCTCCATCAGTACGATGGTTGTTGCTCGAGGCAATAAACTAGAAACTCTCTACCTCACCTTATATGCGAGTAACACCCTCGCAATTGCAGCTGACAAAGAGAGTACAGATCTGTGGCACAATAAGCTAGGGCACATGAGCGAGAAGGGGATAAAGATCTTACATTCACATGGAAAGCTAACCGGGATCAACACCGTGGAAGCCGGGGTTTGTGAAGATTGCATCTTTGGGAAGCAGAAGAGGGTTAGTTTCCAGAAAGGTGGAAGGCCACCTAAGGCTCAGAAGCTAAAGTTGATTCATACAGATGTATAGGCTCCAGCCAGTGTGTCTTCTTTTGGTGGTTAGAGATATTATGTCACCTTTATCGACGATCACTCGAGGAAGATGTGGATCTACTTCATGAAGCACAAGTCAGAGGTGTTTGGAGTCTTCAAGAAGTGGAAGGCCATGGTAGAGAATGAGACAGATCTGAAGATGAATTGTCTGAGATCAGACAATGGTGGAGAATACGAGCTGAATGAGTTTAAGAGGTTCTGTACTACGAATGACATTCGTTTAGAGAGGACTACTCCAGGGACGCCGTAACAGAACGGCGTTGCAGAGAGGATGAACAGGACCTTGACGGAGCATGCCAGGAGTATGTGATTACATGCAGGTCTGCCTAAGACATTTTGGGCGGATGTGATGCATACAGCAGCTTACCTTATTAATCATGGTCCATCAGTTTCATTGGATTTTGGGATTCTAGAGGAGGTTTGGAGTGGAAAGAAGATAAATCTCTTACACTTGCGGGTATTTGGCTGCGTGGCTTATGTTCATATCAGTGGCCATGTGAGAGACAAGCTAGAAGCTAAGTCACAGAAGTGCACATTCATTGGATACAGTATTGATGAGTTCAGGTATCGTCTTTAGGATGAGAAGAACAGGAAGATCATCAGAAACAGGGACGTGATATTTAATAAAGAAGTGATGTACAAGAACAGGAAAAATGCCAAGGATAGCCAAAGCAGTGAGAGCAGCACTTCGGATGCAGGTGGATCCGGGTACATGGATATAGAGAAACTTCCGGATAGTGGTGATGATGTTTGTTCTGACCACAGAACGGAGGAGGCTCCAGGTGCAGAAGAAACTACCCAGGGCGTGGAGCTTAGGAGGTCATCCAGGGTACCCAAACCAAATATCAGATATCTTTCATCTCTTGACTACTTATTGTTGACAGACAGCGGTGAGACGGAGTGTTATGAAGAGGCAATGCAAGTGAGTGAGTCTCAGCAGTGGGAGCATGTGATGCAGGAAGAGATAGATTCTCTACTCACTAATGAGACATGGGAGTTAGCCCAGCTACCTGCACAGAAGAAGGCCTTACATAACAAATGGGTCTACCGGGTCAAGCAAGAGAGTGATGAAAGCAAGAGATTCAAAGCCAGATTAGTAGTGAAGGGGTTTCAACAGCGGGAAGGAGTGGACTACACGGAGATATTTTCTCCTGTTGTGAAGCTCATAACTATTAGAGTGGTATTGAGTTTGGTAACTGCAGAAGACCTCTTTCTTGAGCAGTTAGATGTGAATACTGCATTTCTTCATGGTGACTTGGATGAAGAAATCTACATGAAGCAGCATGTTGGCTTCATTGAAGAAGGAAATGAAGAGATAATGTGCAAGCTCAAGAAGAGCTTATATGGTTTGAAACAAGCTCTGAGACAGTGGTACAAGAAGTTTGATAACTTCATGCAAAACAATGGCTACAGAAAATGCAATTCGGACTATTGTTGTTATTTCAAAAGGTTCGAGTCTAGCGTTATTATCTTGTTATTATATGTTGATGACATGTTGGTAGCAGGACCGTGTTTAGAAAATATAAACAGTCTGAAGAAGCAGCTAGCAAAGGAGTTTGTAATGAAGGATCTGTGTGCAGCGAAGCAGATTCTAGGGATGCGAATCAGTAGGAATGAAGCTGAAGGGACATTGAGATTGAGCCAAGCTGAATATATCAAGAAGGTACTTTAGAGGTTCAATATGTAGAATGCTAAGATTGTTAGCACGCCCCTTGGAAGTCAGTTCAAGCTATCTGAAGAGCAATCGCCTAAGACAGATGCAGATAAAGAGCATATGAGCAGGGTGTCATATTCTTCGGCTATCGGGAGTCTCATGTACGCTATGGTTTGCACGAGGCCGGACATCGCCCATGCAGTGGGAGTTGTGAGTAGGGGTGGAAGTGAACCAAATATTTAATAAACAGTTCGGCTAATATTCGTGCAGATATTCGGTCATATTCGATCCGACAGTTCATTTAACACTAAATAAATATTTTTTAGTATTCGGCTTATAAACGAATAGAATTTAACTAAAGGTATATTCAATTCGACTGATTATTAACTATTCGATAACTTTTTATATGTTAATACTATTAATTAAACTTGTTGTAAATATTACCCATCAAAATTTTTTTGTTGGGCTGGGAACAATTCAGGGTTGATTTTATATGGAGATGAAAACTAATCTTGTATGGGATTCAAGTGTTCAAAGTAAATATTAACACCTTGGAAGCTTATTTGCTTTGGCTTACTATAATTCTAACTTAGATTATTTACTCACTATAAGTCTTGGTGAATTACAACTTCATTGTGTCATAGAAGCTAATTCAAAAGGTACTTAAAAACGAAACTCGCATGAACTGAAGAGAGCCATTATACTATAGCGCGATTGCTTAAGTTTTCTAGAAATAAATCTTAATCTAACCTGATTTCCAAACAGTCCTCTATGATGATGGCCGTGTCTACTGGTCCAAAATAGTGTGATTATGTCCATGTTAATTGCAGGTATGATTATCATTCTTTAAATAATTGCAGGTATGATTATCTTCTGAAACTATCTATAGTCATTGGCCATCTATTATAAGCTTTAACACATGGTAACATAAATTATTAATATGACTATGAATATGATGTGTTTTACTGTAACAGTTAGAAAGCTTACT